GAATTTTGCTACAATACCTCCTACCATTCATTCATTAGCATGCTACCATTCAAGCTCTCTACAGGCATCCTCCTCCCCACCATCCCTATATCGCATCGATACACCACCAGTAAATGAAGTAGATTAACAATTTATTGCCCAAGATGAAATACTTTGTCTACTGAAAACCTCTAGACAGTTAACAACTGAATGCAACAAGTTACTAATTTTAAAAGGCGTGATATCAAATTCTAAGGAGGTGGGTGGGTTTCTCTCAAGTTCCAGTCATACCGTCAACAAGCTGCATTCAAAAGAACATTTCAAAAACTAGCATGCCACTATTATGGATCCTACCAGATTATGTAAAGAATAGGCTCAGTCATATATAACCTCCAATTACCAAAATGATCTCGCATCCACCCGATCTTTTGGATCTCCATGCTTAAAAAGAAAATAAGAAATTTCATTCTCTCAATTGAAGAACTGTCAATCACCAACAAATGAGATATCATTCTTCAGCTATAACTCATCTTAAATAATCGTTATATTAAAAAAAAAAAATCCAAATTTGTGAAGAAAAATCTAGTTAAATGGAAGTAATTACTGGAAAAAGAAGTTATATGGGAAAATATTGAAGAATTGCACGAACGGTTCAACAACATGAACCTTGAGGACAAGGTTCCAAAAAATGGAGGAGACAATGATAAATCAAGAAGATCTCATCGAAAACCCATACGCAACCCAAAGTACCTCCAGTGAATGTGGAAAATTAGTCATTAGGGAATAAGTCAACCAACATTCTATTATCCCTATTATCTATCCCAATAAATGTATCCCATTATCCCTATTTCCCCATTATCCCATTTTTGAATTCTACCACGTAGATGTAGGAAGTAGTTGGAAGAATTGTTTGTATTTAGGCATTATAAGTATCAACAATAAATGGGTTCAATTTGCATCTAAAAATTATGGTTTTTCTCGTCTAAAGTAAAAAGCTTTTGTTGTTACTTATCTGGTACTGATAGACCTATCATATTCATACTTCCTTTGGATGCTCACATTGTCGATCATCTTGCTCCCATTCATTATATAATATGTGAATTTTTTTGAGTAACAAGTAGAGCTCTATCCATCATTTGTTATGAATCCATTGATTTCTCACCATCATATAACCCATAGTTACCATAAAAACCATGTTCTTCATTAATATTGATAGGTTATGCCATGATGATGTTGCCAATGGTGAAAAGATTCAACATCCAATATGGTTACCGCGGAGGGTTTAAGAGTCATACTTTAAAAGAATAATCACACTCTTTGAATAATTCTCCACATCCACTTGTGCTATTCACACTTATTACTAATAGTATCAAGCATAACACTTCTTCTGCTAATCTCATTTTCGTCAGTTAGATTTCTTTACAAAGACTCCAACCAAAATGCTTTGCAAGGCAGTACTGTCGTGGACCATATCATTGTCCAATTTAATATAACCTGCCCAGAGGTGGATGCTCTTGTTTCCTTGTATGTTTTTGTCAATGCCATTACACATCCAAATCATACATAATAATAATCTTTTCTATGTTAAAAGAGTGAATTTCAACTTTTATCCATATAAATTTCCCATGTGTTATGTTATTGTAAAAAAACAATAATCTGAATTGCAATAATAATGATAATGTCAAAACATCAGAATCCTTACATAATTCAGATCATACTCTAGTAGCATGTTAATAGGAAAATTTCATGTATAATTAAGAAAGAAAAAAAAATCCTTTGCTCATACTGCTGAAATGCAATATTCACAACATAACAGGAAAACAGACCATCATTTGCTAGAACTAAAAACCAAATTCAGACAGCATTTAGAAAATAGCACAAATTATATATTAAAAAGAATTAACTACGCCCAAGCAGAGTCTAAGATAAAGAATACAAAATAAGGCTTGAGATACAGATGAGGGACGGCAGTAACTTTTTTGTCTGAGCATTCTCTTCTCCTATCTTTTTGTTTAAGCATCCAGCAAGACGAAATCCTAATGCTACAGTTCTTGGCCACCTATCTAACAATAAGCAGCAGGAAAAGGATTTGACAAGTGAAACTATGTCTACTCTTTAACTTCTTATTCCACTAAATTGTGTTGACAACTGGGTTATCTCTTGTATCATCCGACAACCCGAGCCAAAAGAATCTTCAAACAAAAACCTGCAGTGTAATTTAGGGTAACATGGTTCAATATTTGACACGTATATACAACTGAACTACTATTATATCCAAGTACTGAGAAACAAGAGTAGAACTGCCAGAATTAGGCTCGTTCATTACGTCTAAAATTTTGGAAGATACTACTTCTGTGGATTATTAGGGGAATAAAAGATGATTTGGCATACACGTCAATGATACAATCTATTTGGTATATGAAAATGTATGTATTTTGTTCAAAAAAATGTCAGTCAACAATTAAAAAGAAATAACAGGCAAAAATGATAACAAAGTACTAAGATTTTAGAATGTTATTTTCAGTGTTTTCTAAACAAATTATTTTTGTTTGTGTTTTAATTATTCCACAAACGCACACCTCTATGAACATTGAATGAGCACAATTTAAGAAATAAAGATTAAAAATACTTTCACAATGAAAAAGAGAATTTCTTGGACTTGTTCC